ACGGGGTAAAAATGGGAGTTCATAACCCACTTGAATCAAAGTGTGAAATATGATATATCAAGAACTATGTAATGTTTTGAACAACCAACAATAAAAAAAAATAAAAAAAGAAACTACAAGTAGACCATGAAAACTCAGGCCTCAGTTTTCTAAACTTCCATTTAGAAAAGTAAGCATCAGTATCACTTATCCCAAGTTAAATCATTACTAATACTCCTACCCTGATTTCCTAGAAGGACTTTAAACTCAGAAAAGCAACCTAGATTCAAGAAGGCCCACCCAAATGCATGTTGGTGGTTACCACACAAAGGGAAGAAGAATAGGACTAAAGAGGGGAACAAAAAACTATTACTTTTTTCTTATTTTTTTCATTTTTTTAGAGGAAGGGAATGATCTGAAGGGTTAACAGGTTAGTCCTAAGATACAAATATATTTGTTATCTTGTTCTCTGGACTATCCTGTAATATTTTATTTTCAGAATTAGCCAGGAGCAGTGGAGCACTCCTGAAATCCCAACAACTCAAGAGGCTAAGACTAGAGGATTGCAAATGTTGAGGTCAACCTGGGCAACTAAAAAGAGACTCTGTCTCAGAATAATGGGAATGTAACCCAGCAGGAGAATGCTTACACAAAATCCTAGGTTTATTCCCTAGAACCATAAAAAGAAAAAAAAAATTTTTTTCAGAATTATTAAAACAAAATATCCATCACCACTCTTGTTCATTAACCCCATTTGAAACATCCTTGATTTTCATTAAACTATGGTGACAAATACCTTTTATTATCCCTCACTAGACTTCCACCAAAGCTCACTTAAAGAATACATAATCTGAAATTACTTCTCCTGGGACATTACAAAGGAACATAAGCACCAGAACAAAAGAAATGAATGACTGATAGTAAATTGAGACCCTTAACACAGGTCTTGGGCATCTGAAAATGAAAAACTGTAGTTGTACATTCACTTCACAAAGAATACAGACGATGTTATGTGGACCAATATCCACAACACTACCCTCTTAAGCCTCCCAAATCTAATACCCACTCCATAAGACATGGTGGGAGGAGACTCATTCATATATAAATCAAAACCAGTGAAGAATCAGAAAAACATTAAGATCAAGAACTTCCAAATTCTAAAAATGCTATTTCTCTCAGATAGCTGACAATACCCAAAACAAGCACCATAAGCATAAATGCAAACAGTGTTTCATGATAAGCTACCATCAAGGCGACTTGCTCCCACGAATAAATGCCCTATCTGTACTTATCCATCAACTAGAAGCCTCACAAAATCCCACATACAAAATACAGAGAAATCTTTATCTCTGTTCACACCATATCAGTTCCCTTCTCCCAATCTTTTCTCCAGCCAGCCCATCTTTACCTTTTGGCCTCTTCCAAATGACAAAGGTACTCATAAGCCACATTCTGACGTCTCCTTTCATCCATCTCCTCTGCAGTGAGTCTCTCATTATCCAGGACAGCTAAAACATGAAAGAAAGAATGTAAATACCAGGATCTGTAATCTTCCTCAGTGATAAAAGAATGCCACAGCCATCAAATTCCTGCTAGTCACCTTGAAGGTCAGGTGGTTGTGTGGATAGCCAGGTGTACAATGACTTTCCTAAAAAGAGACCTATGGGAGTTGTATGCAATAGTGCACACTGTAATCCCAGCTACTCAACGTGGCTAAGGTAGGAGGAACACAAGTTCAAGGACAGACCTGGAAATTGAGCCAGATCCTGTCACAAAATAGAAAGAGGTTGGGGATATAGCTCAGTGCCCAAGGCCTCAGCATGCTAAAAAAAAAAAATTACAGAAAGACGGGGAGAGATCTATAGAGTTTCAACTACATTCATCTTGCCCTTTATTAAAAATGTATAGTAATATGAAAAATACAAACTTGAGATTTGGGCCTGCTTTTGTTCTTATGTCAGAGCTCATTCTAAATACAGATCTCATCATATTTCCCCCTTTTATTAATAACCAAAACCAGCAGTTATTGAGAACTAAATGGTAGTAACTGTGCTAAGCATTTTACATGCATTCTCTCCCTGAAGCCCACAACAATCCTGTGATTATCAGCTCTTATTTTACAAATGGGAAATTGAGGCCTGTGAGCTCAGCCCCAGGGCTAATTAAGAGGAGGGCCCTGGGTTCAAATGCAGACAGCCTTCTATAACCAAGGGCTTAACCTTGAAGATACCTGCCTCCTACACTAGCATCCAGGGTATTAAATTCCTAACTCCTTGGGAAGGCAATCAAGGCCTTTCGAATCTGACCTCCACTACTTTTAAAAACTTTTCCCCTTTCCTCCTATCACTGTGCAATCCACACCACTCAGTTCCACACACAACACACACAGTGTACCTGTACTCTTCCACACCCTACCTGGAGTCTGGTCTCTTGCCCCATCTGTCAAACTTTTCTGTACAGTTTCATTCAAGAAAATTCAAATGTCACCACCTATGTTTACAATGACTACCCTAAACCCATTTTCACATTATTCTGTATGCCTGTTATTGAACCTCTTGTCTTTATTGCACCTTATTATCACTAGCTTGTATACCTATCTGATTAAAAAATTCTTTGAAGGCAGGGCCTGGTCTTACTCATGCTCAATTTCACAAACGTGGCACTACATTATAACTGTGATAAATAAAATCACTCTTTTAAAAAAAAAAACATTATTTCTATAATGTAAAATAAAAACAGAAAACTTTGAGACCCCAAAGTAGATTCCAGTAGTCAATGGTAACCACCCCACCTGCAGTTCATTGATATCCCAAGGATGGACGACAGAAAATAAAGAAGTTAGAGGTTTTCGGTGGTTTTTTTTTTTTTCTTTAACTTTTGAAATCCTGACGAAGGAACTAAGCCCGAGAAAGCCGAAGTGACTTGCTCAGGACCGTATCGCACCTCGCCTAGCTCATTAACTGTCTAAATAAAGAGTCTGGACCCTGAGTCTGCTCGCAGGCACCACTCGGGGCATACCTTTCCAAGAAGCCGGAGCGGAGCCCCAGTCTCCGGTCCCGGGACACGCCCTGCTCCGTCCTCCTGCCACCTCACCCCAGGCCATCTCCCCCAATCTCGGCCGAGCTGGGTGGCGAGAGGGGCCGGGTGGGCTCCTTCTGCCGCAGTGGGGGCCGAGGCAGTGAGACCTCCGGGGTCCTACCCGCCTCCAAGAAGGAGGGGGCGCGGGCCCGGGCCTCCAGCCCTCCACCCAGCCAAGCCGGCTCTTCCGGGTCCGCGCAGCCGACAGCCGCCCTGCCCCACCCGCCCGGCCGAGCCACCGGGAAAACCTCGCCTAGGAGGCAGGGAGCCCATACCCAAAACCCTCTCGCAGCAAAGCCCCGCACTCACAGCCATAGTGCGGCCGAGCCACGCCCAGTCCATCAACCTCGTCCGCGACGGACATGGCGGCCGAGCCCGGGTCTCTGCTGAACGAGCGGTGAGACCTTGAAGACACGGGCGGCGGCAGCTGCAGCTCCTGCCGAGTTCGCGGGCTGTAGGGAACCTGAGGCCTCGCCCGGCGCTGTCAGCCCCGCCCCGTAGGCCCCGCCCAGCCGCGAAGCTTGGAGCTGCCGGGGAGGCGTGGCCAGAGCCTCTAGGCCCCGCCCTATATACGCCCCCCCCTCACCTCCACCCTCCCCCGCATCCCGCAGCACCCTCGGCTGCCGGAAGGAAGGAGGCGGGGCCCGCCCGCCCGGCCCGCGGTCCCGGGGGCTCTGCCAGGAAGGCTGCCCAGGCCTGCAGCCCCGCCCTGCCGGGCACCGCCCCATCCCCAACTCAGACTTTAAGACGGCGAAGTCAGTAGCTTGAAATCAAAACCTTGGGCCGCCTCCCTTGCCCTGCCACCTAAGTTAACTTCCGCTACAGCACGGATCGTGGAAGGCGTCTTTACAGATGGCCCAGGGTGTGTTCTTGCAAGGGATTCCAACCCCAGTCGGCACAGTCTGTCAATCTGGCCTCAGTCCGCCCAGATTTGCCAGTAGTCTCCAGAGTAGAACTGTTCGGTCTCTCACGTATTTGAAACGTTGATTCTTAAAGCAGAAATATGTTTACCCAAACTTACTTTTGATTCCGTTTTTCTTTGCAAATTCTTGTTTGAAGGGGGTCTTTGCCCTACTGGGGATGCCTCTTTCCCCAGCACCTTGTAAACCTCCCTGAAAGCATGGCAATGCCCTGCACCTTGTAAACCTCCCTGAAAGCATGGTAATCGAAGAATAAATTCTTTCTTTCTTCCTGTCTTCCTTCCTTTCTTTTTTTTTAATATTTATTTATTTATTATTTGTAGTTGGGCACAATATCTTTATTTTATTTTATTTTATTTTTATGTGGTGCTGAGGATCAAACCCAGGGCTTCACACGTACTAGGTGAGCACTCTACCGCTGAGCTACAACCCCAGCCCTTTCCTTCCTTCCTTCCTTCCTTCCTTCCTTCCTTCCTTTGTTTCTTTCTTTTTCTTTTCTTTCTTTTTTCTTTTCTTCCTCTCTTTCTTCCTGTCTTCCTCTCTTTCTTCCTCCCTTTTTTCTTTCTCTTTCTCTCTTTCTTTCTCTCTTTCTCTCTTTTTTTAAGAGTGAGAGAGGGGAGAAAGAGAGAGAGAGTCTCTCTTTCTCTCTTTATCCCTTTCTCTCTCTCTTTCTCTCTTTTTCTCTTTCTCTCTTTCTCTCTTTCTTTCTTTCTTTCTCTCTTTTTCTCTCTTTCTTTCTTTCTCTCTTTTTCTTTCTTTCTTTCTTTCTTTCTTTCTCTCTTTCTTTCTCTCTTTCTCCCTTTCTCCCTTTCTCTCTTTCTCTCTTTCTCTCTTTCTCTCTCTCTTTCTCTCTTTCTCTCTCTCTTTCTCTTTCTCTCTCTCTTTCTTTCTCTCTTTCTCTCTTTCTCTCTCTCTCTTTCTCTCTCTCTCTCTCTTTCTCTCTTTCTCTCTCTCTTTCTTTCCTAAAGTATCTATCACCAGACCAGACTGTCTGGAAGCCCCTCCATATATTCAACTGTCTAATGAGCACTTTTATCTGTTTATCCTGCAGATACTTCAAATTCCATGTGTCAAACATTGATCAGCTTTTGCTATAGTCTCTATTAATGGTTTAGTATTCAGTTCTCAGTGAGACACACCAGGATCCTTGTCTCATGCCCTACATCTAACATGTGTTATTTCTGAAATGTCTAGCTTTTGTCTCTATGCCCCTGTGATTACACTGTTTAGAGTATCATCATCTCTATTTTCCTTTCTGCCAACTAGACCCTCAAAGTTATCACAGTGTTCTTTCCAAAGTGCAAATGCAATGTGTTCATCTTTCAAATCTATACTTTTCCTATTACTTCAGTCACAATATGGTCCAAGTTCCTTAACATACCAAATATACCTCTTTACAAGCTGACCAGTCTTTTTGCTTCAGCCATTTTCAATTTGTTCACTCTTCCTTTAATTTTTTTGTTACAGTGTTGGGAATTAAACCCATGGCCAAGCAAGCACTCTACCACTAAGCTATACCCCAGCCCTCAAACTATGGAAGTGAAATACTTAAAATCTTATAAGAACAAAATATCCCCATGGGAAAAAAGGGGCAAGGGTTTAATTTATTATAGCTACGAAATCAAAAGTTATTTATTTATTAAGGTTTTTTGTTTTATTTTGGTGGGGATTTTGTTAGTTGTTTTGTTTGTTTTTTAAGATGGGTCTTGCTATATTACCAAGGCTGGCCTATCTCTTGGGCTCAAACAAGCCTCCTGACTCAGCATCTGGAGCAGCTGGGACTACAAGCATGTGCCAGAGAGCCTGGAGTATTCTTCTTAGGCTTTTAGATAAAGCTTCCAAGTTTTATTATTCTATTTATAAGTCTAGCATTTTTTACTAATCACTGTTTAGAAACCAAATAATTTTATCCCATTCATTAACTTAATCCGGCATCATCAAACATTTAAAATTATGTTTATAACCTAAACGTAATTTTAACCTAAACCTAAAAATATTAGATATTCTTTTTAATTCCTTCACTTGTCTGACCTAGAAACTTTTCAAAGTTTTGTAATCCTTATAAATCAAATATACTTACAAATATAATGAAACTAGGCAAGTGAGGTAGCACATGCCTATAATCACAGCAACTTTGGAGGTTAAGGCAGGGGATTGCAAGCTCAAAGCCACCCTCAGCAATTTAGTAAGACCCTGTTTCAACATAAAAAATAAAAGGAGTTAGAGATGTAGATCAGTGATAAAGACTGTCTCAATGTAAAAACTAAATAGAGTCAGAGATGAAGCTTAGTGATAAAATACCACTGGGTTCAATCTCTA